CTGCGGGACAGGCGGGGGAGGGGCGGGGCTGCCCCCAGAAGCCACGTCTAGGAGGCGCTCGAGCAGCGGTGCGAGGAGGGCGAAAAGAAGGCAGATGAGAGGAGGAGACGGTGGAGGAAGCTGAGGAAGAGGAGCAGCAGCAGCATCGGATGGGCATCAGGAGCGCGGCGCCTCGCGCGAGTCTCCCGAGCGGCCGCGCGGGCGGCCGACGAGCGACAGCGCGGCGCCCTCGCGCCGCGATGGCGGAGAGGGCAAGGTCGAAGACAGCGTGGAACAAGACCCACTCGCAGAGGAGGAGGGCCAGGGGCGCGTCGACGTAGGCCAACGCGCCGCCGACGAAGCAGGCGCCGCCGCCGGAGAAGACGCCGCGCCACCAGCCGGCCACGGAAAAGCAGCGAATCACGACATGGTCGATCATCGCGCCGCGTGGCTGCGAGAGGGGCCAACCTGCGGGAGCAGCGCCACTGGGGTGCGGCGGGCGCGAGGCGCCAGTCCCTTCTCGACCCGCCTGATTGCATCTTGCTGGCCGCGGCGCGTGGGCTCGTTGGGCGAGAGCCCTTCGCACCTCAAGCCAAGCTTTCTCACTGTGCGGACATCGCCCGCAGCACAGTGGGAACCGCAGCGTCTGCGACAGTAGACATCGTTGCCTCTGAACACGTCGTGCCCAAGCGCGGCGAAGGCGCCGCCTACCTCCTCGGCCAGGGCAGGCGGCGCCAGGGCCGCGGGAGCCGAGGGCTGCGAGCTCCCTTCGAGCGCCATGGCCGCGCGCATGGCCATGCCAGCCCTTTGGTCGCTGCAGAGGACCCAACCCCCGCCGAAGGCGCGGAAGTACTCGGCGTTGAGAGCACGGGCAACACGCGAAGGCCGACAAACACGATGAGAGCCAGTTTGCAGCGAATTGAGGGAGGAGCCTGATGTGGCCTTGACTCCGCATTGGGCACATTGGTACCGCCCGCAGCAGCAGCAGCAACCCAAGGAGGAGGCGACTTGGCGACCGTAAGCTTCTTGACCATGGCCTGGAGGTCGGCAAGCTGCTTGGCCATGGAGGCGGTGTCGGACGGATCCTTAGATGCCTTAGGTGAGCCCGTGGACTTGGTCGCAGGACCCCCTTTGGGCGTTGTGGAACCACCGTAGCAGACTCCTTTATGCAGGTTGCATTTAGAGCACCCCTTGAGGTCGCCACGGTTGATCCACGGCGCGCCGCCCCTCGTGACGCACTTCTTGCAGCGCCAGGGGTCAGCAGCGAGGCAGCGCAGTTTGAAGGGGGCTGGAAGACCCAGCCAACATTTTCGCCTCAGGCGAAGCCAAGCTCCAGCTCTGTTGTATCGTAGTAACGATAGTCCCAGTAGAAGAGGAGATGCCACCTCAAGCAATAGGAAGATCCTTTTGGTCTCGATAGCGATTGTGTGCCTCGCGGTGAGGCACAGTCAAATCTGGGCGGCCGGCCGCTTTGAGCCAACGCGGCCGCGGCCGCACGCTCGCTTCCACTCCTTACGTCCCCCAGCTCGCTTTAGCGTCGGGGGGGAAGGAGACGAAGTGTGAGCCCGATGCCCCTATAGAGCAAGCACAGTTCAGCAGCTAACATACACAAGGACAGGAAAGGAGACGGGCCCAATGGCTATGGTCCGTGCGAGCCCCCCAGGACCGCGCTGCAGTGCGGCGGCCTGCTGGGAGGGCGTCATGTTGCCTGTGGTCAAATTGATCCAGGCGTGTACCTCGCGGACGAACTCGCGAAATGGTACTCGACCGGCAGGATCCCAGTGGGGGCCAGTCGTTCTAGTGTCGTCTCCGCCCCGCATATATCCTACCGCACATCCAAGAGCGACCCATATGAGCCCAAAGATAATAACCCCAATCCAATGGCCTCGTAGGTCGTAGTCGGATGTAGTCGGTGGAGACTTGTGTTTTGTCGTCGTAAGCCTGCGTGGGGTCGGAGGCGGCAGTGTATCGTATCGTACCGCATGTTTCTATGCAGTATACCTTCGAATAAATTTTCCAATGGGAGTAGGTGGGTGGACTTCAGGAGTGTAATAGCGCAGGGATGTAGGATAGGAGCAAGAGACCTCCGCTGGAGCAGAGGTGGCACTGCAAGTTTCCTTGCGGTACTGCGTAGCTGTGTACACTCCTCCGCGCAATGCCACTGCACCCTGATGTTCCACCATGTGTGTAATCCACCACTTAGTGCCGTGGATGGTGAGGAGTAACGCTAGAGCTGACCACCATAGGCCAGCTCCGCTACCAAGTTTGGAAAAGGGGCTGGAAGACCCAGCCAACAGCTCCGCCTCAGGCGAAGCCAAGCTCCAGCTCTGTTGTATCGTAGTAGCGATAGTCCCAGTAGAAGAGGAGATGCCATCTCAAGCAATAGGAAGATCCTTTTGGTCTCGATAGCGATTGTGTGCCTCGCGGTGAGGCACAGTCAAATCTGGGCGGCCGGCCGCTTTGAGCCAACGCGGCCGCGGCCGCACGCTCGCTTCCACTCCTTACGTCCCCCAGCTCGCTTTAGAATGGCGCGACAAGGCGGCGCCGTGACGGAAGTAAGGCCAACCAGGCCGCAACACCCGTTTATAGTCCAGGAATCCTGGGGACGCCACCCGGGAAACCCAGAAGCCAAGGCTTGGCTCGCAGGAGAGAAAAAGCCCTTCCCAATGTTTCTGCCCCTGCAGACCCGACTCGGGCCAGAAAGGGCTGGATGGGCATCAGGAGGAGGAGGAGGAGTAGGAGGAGGAGGAGGAGGAGGATCACGAGGAGGGGAAAACAGAAAACGAGGGGAGGAGGAAAATAGAGGATGGTAAACCTGCTCAACCACCTCCTGCTGGTGAGGCTGTGGTTGACAAGTATCCTCCTCTTCCTCCTTCACATGCGATCCCTCTCCTCCTCCACCTTGTTATCCTTCGCCTCCTTATCCTCATCATCCTCCTCCCTCCTCCTCCTCCTCCTCCTCCTCTTCCTCCTCCTCCTTCTCCTCCTCCTCCTCCTCCTCCCTCCTCTATCCTCCTCCTCCTCTATGTCCTCCTCCTCCTCCTCCTCCTCCTCCTCCTCCTCCTCCTCCTCGCGTGATCCTCCTCATTGTCCCGCGCTTTCGCAGTAGCCCCAGATGTCCAGGACATCCCCAGGAGGCCCCAGGAAGCTTCAAAGAAGCCCCAGGATGCCCCAGGAGGCCCCAGGAGGCCCCAGGATGCACCGACCAAAAACATACGAGGCCCCAGGAAGCCACAAGAAACACCAAGAAGCCCAAGGATGCCCCAGGGATCCCCAGGAAGCCCCCACCCATGGAAGCCCCAGGAAGCTCCCGAACCGCCTTTTCAAGATGGTCTGAATCGCCGCTCGGATTCGAGACCTTCGGTGGGAGCCCTTCGGGACGGCACTCCTTCGGAGGAAGGAAAAGCACCAAGGGGACCCCTAAACAAGAATCGCTGGACGATCTAAGAGGTCCCTGAGACGTCAGGAGCACCCAAGAAGTCCCCAAGATGCACCCAAGAGGCCGAACGGCACAGGCATCAATGCGCGTTCGGTGATTATCGCGTTCTCGTGTTTTCTTTGTTCGTCGCCCTCCATCAGCCAGGCGACTGCTCTCCCCCACGCCAGATTCACGTGACAGCTTGGGGAGATGACCACAATCCATCAACTTCCCAGTCACCGCGATCACACGAACAAATGGAAACGATGATACAAGATGGGCCGGCGGAGTGCGCGAAGCGGTTCAATAGTCATCATGGATACCCCCAGTGCCTGCTGACCTCAGGTGGCAATAGAGGTCCGTGACGTCGTTTCTATGGTCCGCGTCGTGCCCCTGCAAGAACTTGCACCCGCACTCCGGGAGAGTGTTTCGCCTGACGAGGGTCAGGGCGATGCGTGGGCAGTCCCCCTGGATGGCCGCCATTAGCGCCGTCTTCCCCATGAACGGGACCGCAGCCTCCCACACGTCGCGCGGCCTCGTGATGGAGACGTCGTGCAACAATACCATCGGGTGTTTCGGCGCCGAGGCGAGGCGGGCGTGGCACATTGGCAAGTGCACCGTGAAGGGCTTTGCGAAGCCCCTCGAGCCGTCGTCGCCGAACATACGCTCGAACACCGTCCATTGCCATTGCTGGAGCTGCTTCGAATCGCTGGCCTTCGCGATCGCCACCACGGCGTGCACGGCGCTACGGGCGTCCGCGGCGTTCACGTAGTCGGGCGGGGTGCCAGCGCAGCCCGCAGCGCTGCCAGGTTTGGTCTGCACGAGCTTCTGGGGTCCCCCGCCCCTCAGATGCTGCGCGTCGCCCCCGCCCCTGAGATGCTGCTTGTCGATCAGCAAATTGATCAAGGGCTCACGCTGCTTTGCCTTCATCAGGTACTGTGCCGCAACCTCTGCCGACGACGACGACGCCTCCGCCGGGTCGTCGGCCTCGTGGCCCCGCAGGCCGTCGCTGAGCAGGAAGGTGAGCGGCGACGCGAAGAAGCTCAGAATGTCCTCCTGGCTCAGGAAAACGAATCGTCGTCGTCGTCGGAGGCGGAGGAGGAGGAGGAAGAGGAGGAGGAGGAGGAGGAGGAGGGGAACGATGAGGGGCTCCTGGGAATCGACAGTCACAAGCCCCACGTCCATCCTCGACAGCGACGTAACATCCTTGCAGCCGACGAAAATGAATGAGAGCTGGCTCTCGGGGTCGAGCCCGGAACCTCGGAAGACCACCTCCTCGAGGGGGCAGCCGCATTTTCTCAGCATCTGCTCGGCGCGGAATTCCTTGAAGTGCGAGTCGGACCCCAAGTCGATGGACGTGAGGGACCTGCTTACCTCGAGCAGCTCCTCTACGGCATGGCCGGCGTCGTCGTCGAGCGTGTTGTCGCCAATCTTCAGGACCTGGAGCGGGTACGCTTTGAGCTCCCTCACCAGCTTCTTAACATCCGCCGCTGGAATGCTCCCGGTGCTGATGTCCAAGTACATGAGCTTCGGGTACCCCAGCAGGAGGTCGCACAATGCCGAAGCCCCTTGAGAGCCGATGTCGTTGAAGCCGATGCCCAGTTTAGTCAGCTGGTGGTTCTCCGTGATGCACCCGACCAGCACCGATATGCCCTGCGAGGTGAGGCCCGTGGAGTTCAAGTACAGCTCCTGGAGGCTCTGGGGCCAGGGCTCTGGAGCCAGGGGATCAGGGTACAACTCCCAGACTCGTGCTGTAGCCATCCCCACCCAACGCCATCCCATTTCCCCTCCCTCCCCCCCTCCTGTCCCTCCCCCCTCTTCCCTTCTTCCCCCCATCCCTCGTCCCTCCTCTATCCTCCCTCCATCCTCCCTCCCCCCTCCCACACTTGCGTCGTTTCGATTCGTATGGCAAATTTGCATGATCGCGTGTGTGGCACCCCGGGTCAGAGGAAGTGCGATCATAGGAAGCAAGCTGATTGTGTCTCGTGGGTAAGGACGCCCGAGGAGCTTTCAGAACTGGTTCCAAGAAGACCTACCCTCCAGGTATGTGCTCGGCGCTTGCGGCCCGGATGTGCGACAGTGTGCGGCGTCTTTTGCCTGAGACTGATGAGATCGAGTTTTCGTTATCCCAGGATGCCCCTGCAGTGCGTTCGAGCCTCATGCATTCTTTGTGTCATGGACTTCCGATGGCGATTGCTCTGATCAGGTCGCCACCGACTTTGCGGGGGGAGGTGCTTCCAGGCCGTCCAGGCACATTAACCCCGAACGCGACAGGTTCTTGGATTCCGATTCGGATGATGCGGCTCCAGAGGTCCCTTCGTCTTCTGTAGGCCCCGCAGTTGCAGGAGAGTGCGACTTTGAAGCCGCTGACGAACAGGCCATTTTGCCCCTGAGGCGCTGGCGGCTGAGCGGGCGTTCGGTGATCCCTCTCCTCCCCCGTGTTTTCCCTCCTCCCTCCCCCCCCTCCCCCCGCCCCGCTCCCGCTCCTGGAGGCTCTGGGCGTACACGAGGCCGGAGGCCAGGTTACGGAGGCCCCGATCCTGGATCAGGTTGTTGTAGCTCAAGTCCAGGCAGGTGAGGCTGCGACAGTGATTCAGCAAGGGCAACAGAAAGGTGACCTGCGGATCACGGATACCGTTGTGCCCAAGGCGCAACGCCTCTACGCCACCAAGCCTTTCCGGATCCTCCGCACGGTCCACCAACTCCGTCACTAGCATCCTGACGACTGGTCCCAGGTAGTTCCCATCCAGATCGAGATCCCGCACGTTCGCCCGCGCGATACTCTCGAAGAGCGTCTCGTACTTAGCGGCCGCAGCATCGCACTGCCGCTCGTCGCCGCCGAGGCAGCACTGCGCCAGCGAGAGCAAGCCCAGGCTGGGACGGGCAAGCCGCCTCTTGAACAGGCATTCTGTCTGGAGTGTCGTGAGGAACTCGTTCGCATCGCTCTCAGCCAGGATCGGGTTGAACGAGAGGTCGAGCCCAAAGACCGAAACATTGCTGTCGTCGTGGACATACTGATCGATGTTCAGCCGGTTCATGAGGTCTTCTAAGTACTTGGTGGCATCCGGGAAGATCTCTTTCCTCGTCAGCAGGCCTGCGAAGTCAAGGACGAAAGACTCATTCAAGGAGTCACCCTTCGTCAAAGCCTCATTCAAGGCGTCGTCCTTCTTGACGGAAGCAGGATTCGAGGCGTCATCCCGTTCCTGGGGCCAGCTCCCCCCCCTCCGCCCCAATGACGTCACGATTCCCGCCAGCACTGGCGGGCAACACAATCCAAACAAACACCGCGATGGCTATGAGCACCGGAATGATCATGGCTGATGGGGTTTCGAACATAACAACAGCACCCCTGATAGCCAGAATGCACGATTCCTAACATATCAATCGTGTCAAGCACTAAAATGATCGCTAGCACTACAATCATTGCAGCGATGACGTTCGTTTCTTCTGAGCTTCTGAGCACCACGATGCCTAGGATCACCTCAGCACTTACGAACGACCATAGGCAGCACGCCGCGAAATGGATGGAGCTCCCTGTGGGGCACGATCCTCGTGAGGGGTGTGCCGAAATGAGCGGGGGGACACTATGCGGACTTCCCCACTGGGCCTTAGGTGGGGGTCCCTGTGGGGAGCGATCCTCGGGAAGGGGTGCCGAAATGGACGGGGAGGGCGCTATCCGGACTTCCCCACTAGGGTTTTCCTCGAGAGGGGTGTGCCAAAATGGGCGGGGGGACGCTATGTGCGAACTTTCCCACCGCGGCCTGAGGTGGAGCTCCCTGTGGTGCCACGACACGTGCAAGGCGTATGCCGAAATGGACCTGCGGAAAGCAGATGCAAGGAGAGGAGGAGGAGGAGGAGGAGGACAAGGAGGAGGAGGAGGAGGAGGAAAAGGAGGAGGAGGAGGAGAAGGAGGAGGGGGAGGAGGAGGAGGAGGAGGGGGAGTGAGGAGTGAGGAGTGAGGCGAGGGCCCAACACCACAGGATGGTTGGGAAAACAAAGGCTCCAGGGAATAGAGAGACGGGCTCCTCGAAGCGTTGGCTGACATTCGGCCGCACCTTCCTCGGCGTCACCTCTGGGCCCGAGCGGGGGGGGCCCGTCAAGCCGTCTACGCTAGCCTGTCGCTGGCCTCCGGCCGCGGCCCCGTCGGAGCCGAGGGAGGCGGCAACGCCCGCGCTTTCGCCTTCCACCACGCTGCACACGGCAGTGAAGTAGCCCTCGTCCAGCAGCTTGACCGTGCCCGGCTTGGCGCTATCATTGTCCGCACACCAGAACTCCGGGCCGAAGTTAATCTCTACCTCGCAGCCTCGGTGCAGGCTTATGGCAGGGACGAGGCCCGCCATTCCGAAGATGGACAAGTCTATGCAGTCCTCCTTGTGCACCTGCTTGCGATTCACGGTCCAGATCATTGTTGCCTTGCCGCCCTCGACCTTGCAAGCCACGCCGATAACGTCATTCTCCTTCCACACTGGCAGCTCCGTCGCAGGACCTGCAGGCGCGGCGGCCTTTTGTGCCTTTGCTCTGTGGCCTCTGCACTCCTTGCCCTGGTGCTTCACCCGCGGCAGGTGCGGCGGATTCTTGCCCTCGAACCCCCACGATAGCCGATCGTCACCGACGGCCACACTCACGCAGTCCCCGCTGAAGTGGGGCAGGCTCCAGCCGATCGAGGCCTTGCCACCCTTCACCTTTTTCTTCTTTTTATTGTTATGCTGCTCGGCCTCGTCGAAGGGATCGTCGTCTAGCTCATCTGGCTCCCCTGCCGTCAGAAGGTCCATGAAGCTCTTCGACTCGAGCTGCAGCAGCCGCACCTCGTAGTAGCAGGTGCCCTCGACGATCCTGGAGATGCCTCGCATCACTGGAACATGATCCATGGCGCGGCAATACCAAACCGTCGACCCCACCTTCAGCTGAGGCTCCCGCGGCTCTCGAAATACAAACTCTGGGCCTGCACACGCGAGGAGCCCTACCGGCGGCCCTGTCGCTGCCGCCGCCCCTCCCCCAGCATCCGCGACACCTCGTTGTGATTTTCCTTCGGTGCTCTGGGTTCGAGGGCTGCGTGGTCTTATTGCACCTCCACCATCTGGCGATCCTTGTGACGTTTCTGTTTCGGTACCCATCTTCAGCAGCTCGGTACGGCGACACTCCCAACTGCCAGGGATCTCCTCGGACAACTTGAGGTACGAGTCAATGTAATCGCCCACCGGGCGCGCGTTCGGGAAGTCGAGCCGCCACTCCTCACCACCATCGGGCTTCAGCGAGATATTGACAGAACTCGCCCCGATGCCAATGGACACCGCTGGCCTGAGACCCCCGTTGAAGCTGATCTTCGGGAACGCGAGGCCCGTAGTTACAGTCGTGCCCCCGCATCTCGTGAGGCAGCTCCCCTTGAACGAGTAGTGGATGCTCCCAGCGTCGACGTCGAGGAGGCAACCAAACTTGTCGCCAGGGTTGATCTCGACCTGCGAGGAATCCACGATTTGGCGGTGGGGCCATATATATTCACGGGTGCTTGAAGTTGCATCGGGATCTTTGAGTTCGTCCTTGCACCCTTCGTACAGACGGAACCTTGTGACATCCATGGCCCAACTACCGATACCGCACCCCAGCCGCCAGCCTCTCTTCCAAGCGTCGTTGACGTTAACGTCCTCGTAAGACGCATCAACGGCCCCGATATACAGGTCGAACCAAGAAACCTCGATTTCCTCAACCGTGACCTCGAAATACCACTGCCCACTCGTCAAGGCCATGCCGTTAAGAACTGCCGTGTTGAAGTTCAACCACGCAAATTTCGATAATCTGCAGCTGTGGACGCTGCGCGGCTGCTCATCGTGGTCGAGACTAGGCATCCCGTACCAGCCAGACTTTCTGAACAAAAAAAAAAAATAGTTCTCCAATAAAGCCATCGCCCCAGTCCTTGGGGAACAAAAGGATACACATTACGGTACTCCCCAGACCCCCGGGGTGCCTTCTGACAAGGATTCCAGGGCGGATCCAGCCGTGGCGACGAGGGCAACGCGAGGTTGGAAACAGAGGCACGATAGTCTCGTATGGTTGCATGGTTGCCTCCTCTTGTTTAAACATGTACTCGATAGAACGGATCTTCCAGAAATGTGAGCCATTCCCCATTGGGCCCTTCAAAGAGGACCCCTTCAAAACGCGTAAGTGGTTGGAACGAGTTGTTATTATTCAGCAAGCGATAGCTGAAAACACGCTTGAGCCAACCGTCCAATATGACGTCTGACGACTGCGAAACGCTTACACAGGAAGAAGGCGAGCATGCGACCCCTAGGGCTGAGGGAAACAAGTTGGTGCAAACTTCTTTCGGACACTCACAAAACCAAATTGAAACATATGTGTGTCGCACTCTGTCATAACCGTGCGAGTAAACGTCTTCGTTGCAACTGTATAGCAAGGAAGACAACCATAACAATCACAACTGGAATCACACGCCATCCCCATATCAGCAACAGCCAAAAAAACATACCCTGTCTGAATCACTGGCCTCTGAGAACAGAACTCCGTGTGCACACCGCATTCTGTCACCCAAAGTACTTCCCACTGACATGCAAAGATGCGTGGCTGCTTGGCCACGGCAAAAATTATCCTGGCGAAAGACCCAACCATATGCAATTGTGAGTACCGCAATTGTGAATATCTTCTTCTGTGGCGCTCCATATGGGGCCACGAAACGTGTGAGGGGTGTGCCGAAATGGGTGTGCGGGACGCATGCGGGCACACCCACTGGGACCTTCGGTGGAGCTCCCTATGGGGCCACGAAGCGTGTGAAGAGTATGCCGAAATGGGTGTGCGGGACGCATGCGGGCACACCCACTGAAACCTTCGGTGGAGCCCCATACGGGGCCACGAAACGTTGGAGGGGTGTGCCGAATTGGGTGTGCGGGACGCATGCGGACACACCCACCGGGGCCTTCGGCGGAGCTCCCTATGGGACCACGAAACGTGTGAGGGGTCACGAAACGCGTCAGAGGTGTGCCGAAATGGGTGTGCGGGACGCATGCGGGCACACCCACTGGGGCCTTCGGTGGAGCTCCCTATGGGGCCACGAAGCGTGTGAAGAGTATGCCGAGATGGGTGTGCGGGACGCATGCGGGCACACCCACTGGGACCTTCGGCGGAGCTCCCTATGGGGCCACGAAGCGCGTGAGGGGTGTGCCGAAATGGGTGTGCGGGACGCATGCGGGCGGCAGCGCTGGGGCCTTCGGTGGAGCTCCCCATGGGGCCACGAAACGTGTGAGGGGTGTGCCGAAATGAATGTGCGGGACGCATGCGGGCACACCCACCGGGACCTTCGGTGGAGCTCCCTTTGGGGCCACGAAACGTGTGAGGGGTGTGCCGAATTGGGTGTGCGTGACGCATGCGGGCGGCAGCACTGGGGCCTTCGGCGGAGCTCCCTATGGGGCCACGAAACGTGTGAGGGGTGTGCCGAATTGGGTGTGCGTGACGCATGCGGGCGGCAGCACTGGGGCCTTCGGCGGGCTCCCTATGGGGCCACGAAACGTGTGAGGGGTGTGCCGAATTGGGTGTGCGTGACGCATGCGGGCGGCAACACTGGGGCCTTCGGCGGGCTCCCTATGGGGCCACAGGGGTGTGCCGAAACGCAGCAGCACTGGGGCCTTCGGCGGAGCTCACCTATGGGGCCACGAAGCACGTGTGAGGGGTGTGCCGAATTGGGTGTGCGTGACGCATGCGGGCGGCAGCACTGGGGCCTTCGGCGGAGCTCCCTATGGGGCCACGAAACGTGTGAGGGGTGTGCCGAATTGGGTGTGCGTGACGCATGCGGGCGGCAGCACTGGGGCCTTCGGCGGAGCTCCCTATGGGGCCACGAAGCGTGTGAGGGGTGTGCCGAATTGGGTGTGCGTGACGCATGCGGGCGGCAGCACTGGGGCCTTCGGCGGAGCTCCCTATGGGGCCACGACACGTGTGATGGGGTGTGCCGAATTGGGTGTGCATGCGGGCGGCAGCACTGGGGCCTTCGGCGGAGCTCCCTATGGGGCCACGACACGTGTGAGGGGTGTGCCGAATTGGGTGTGCATGGCGCATGCGGGCGGCAGCACTGTGGCCTTCGGCGGAGCTCCTATGGGGCCACGAAACGTGTGAGGGGTGTGCCGAATTGGGCGTGCGTGACGCATGCGGGCGGCAGCACTGGGGCCTCCGGCGGAGCTCCCTATGGGGCCACGTCGCCGTCTGCGAGGTCGGCGAGGTGTCTGTCCGCTACGAGGCCTACTCGTACGTAGTGGCGGACCGGGTTCTCGAGGCCACACGCCTCGCGCTTGCCAATGGGGCCTCCCATCGACCTGGTCGAGAGGATGGCGCTCCAGAAGCGGCTGACACTCCTTCGCCTCCGTCATACACAGGACGTGGCGACGCCGCAGGACGAGAACGAGATACAGCAGGTGGTGGCTGCTCTGGCATAGCTAGCAGCGCCTCCTGCAGCGGCAGCGCGGAGCCGCAGCCGCCGCCCTTTCCCGCAGCGCCCGCCAGTCGCGGGATGCGGGCAGCCGCTCCCGCAGAGCCCGCCGCCCGCGGGCTCGGGGCTCGCCGGCAGCCGCCCAGCCGCAGCAGATGGCGACTCCGGCGTCGACGCCGACCACCGCGACGACGGCCTCGTCTACAGCGACGCCGACTACGACAAGACCCTCCCAGGCCAGCCGGCCGAGACCTACCTCGAGTACGGCACCGGGACCGGGGCCTGCGACGAGAACGACTACAGGTGCCAGTCCCAGCTAGGCTGCGGCAGTGCTGCCGATCGGGGCCCCCTCCTGTCCTCGCCCTCCGGAGGAACCTTTCCCGACAGGGATGCAGAGGCCGTGCACCTCACCCCGCCGGCGGCTGGTGGTGGGGGCGAGGGAGTGGCAGAGCCTGCCAGCCCAGCCGCGCCAATGAAGCTGCCGAGCATCGAGCCGTTCCCGGTGCTGCAGGACGTCGCTCCGAGCATCAAGGACGGCGCCTCGTGCATCGATGACTTGATCCAGACCCGCCCCTCTGTGCCAGAGGAGCCGGAGGAGTCCGAATACGAGGAGGCACAGGATTCTCCAGGGTTCTCCGCGGTCGGCCAGATGAAGCAGCTCCTGCATGAAGGTGAGGCCGTGCAGCTCCCCGTACTTCTTCGCACGATCCTGGCGGATGGCGACGGCGAGCTACCGGCCGGCGCCCCACTATCAGTTAGTGTGAAGGGCGTGCACAAATTCCAATACGTCTGCAAGCAGGTCATCAAGCAAGTGAGCCATGCAGTAGGCATGAAAGTCCTCACAACAGATGTGGCTGTGCAGTTTGGGTTTGCAGATGCAGGTGAGCAGCATATCTGTGAGCACCCCGCTCCAGATATCAGTTTTGACTCGTTTCTGAGCTCCTTCCCGGACTCGGGAATACTCTTTTTGCAGGTGTGCGATCCGTGACTTCCCAGCTCGTCGCTCGCCCGCTGCGCGTACGCAGGCCGAAATGTGTAGCTTCCCAGCACCCATCCCTCAGCCTTGTGCCGCCGGTTTTATCCGCCGACCTCTGCCTCTGTAGGCCTCTGTTGGCGCTGCGCCTCGCCCCCGCGAGGCACGAGTCCCTTGCTCGGTAAACTTAGGGAGCTAAATCTTGAGACTGCCATTCCTGGACGAATAAAATGGGGCCACGAAACGTGTGAGGGGTGTGCCGAAATGGGGGAGGGAGGAGGGAGGAGGGGGAGGAGGAGAGGAGAGGAGAGGAGAGGAGAGGAGAGGAGAGGAGAGGAGAGGAGAGGAGAGGAGAGGAGAGGATAGGAGAGGAGAACGCGGGGCGACGTCTCTTCAAAACGAGGACCCAACACCACAGGATGGTTGGGAAAAACATGCACTGTCTGAGTCACTGGCCCCTGGGAAAAGAACTCTGTGAGCACACCGCACTATGTCACCAACATAACTTGCCGCTAACATGCAAAGATGTTTGGCTGCTTGGCCACTGCGAAAACAATTTGTCAGAGGGCGAACAGCCATAACGGCTCAGATCATACCATGACTTCGAAAAACGTATGGATGCTCCAAGGCCCAATGGCTTGGCCACAATCGCGGCAACCCCGCATCTTACTAGGCCTGGCAGCGCATACGACCCCCAGTAACTACAACGTACCCACAGCCTCCCTAACATAGCGATAACCCTGGGAGTGCTAAGCAACTACCCAGGAGTGTGCTGTAGGATAGAAGTTGTGCGTCCGCGGATACGCGCCGTCCACCCCACCCGTCACGCATCAACATAACCCCCCATAATCAGGAGTTCAAGATGATAGTCAAAGAGTCCAGGCTCACAAGAAAATGAAGTTACAGAGATGCTTGTCAGCTCGCGCTGACAGCATGCAACAGTAAGTCATTCAGAATGGACTGCCCCGAAGACAAGTATCTGAATCGAGGGGATAAGACACAGGCATTAGTGCTGTCTCCTCCAACGGCTCTGTCTACGCACTTTTCGGGGCGCGCCGCGCGCGCATGTCCTTTTCTCCAACCCTGCTGCGTTGGGTTCTCGTTTTGAATAGAGCAGTGCGGTCTCCACTCCTTCCCGCCCCCTCCGTCTCTCCTCTTCTCCCCTCTTCTCAGAATGCAGCACGTCTCTGCCCTCATCTGCCTCATACTTCTCCTCTTCCCTCCTCTTCCCTCCTCCTCTGCTTCCTCCCCTGGGGGGGTGCCACTTTCGAGGGCTGCTGGGGGGTCCAGCGGAGTGGGGAGATACGCGGACTCATATTAGACCTCACCATCCCTGGGGGGCTGCGATCAGCGGAGCTGTCGCCACTTTCCACAGCTGCTGGGGGGGTCCAGCGGAGTGGGGAGCTACGCAGATTCAGACTCGACCTCACCATCCCTGGGGGGCTGCGATCTGCGAAACTGTCGCCACTGTCGAGAGCTGCTGGGGTGTCCAGCGGAGTGGGGAACTACGCA